AAAGCCACTGTACTGAGAAGAACCGGCGAAAGAAACTCAGCGGGCTTTTTTTTTTTTTTTTATAAGCAGTTTGACATAAATTCGTTAAAATACAATATAAGAACTCCGATTGAAAGAGCCTGGAGCGATCAGTTCATTACCAGAGTGTGTTATCATATAAATAATCATTAATATTATAATAGCCTTTAACACATAAACGTTCTTTTACTATTTTTTTAAATTTAGCTATTGATGCATTTTGAACGTTTTCTGGAATTTTGTTGTAATAACGTATACATTATCCCATAAAAGATTTACTTATTTTACGGAGTCTACTTGTGGGTAGGATCAATTTATTTTTGTTCCTAGTATTTATATCATGAACATTATTATGTCTTAAAAATTTATCCTTATTTTTATGGACATACAAAACATTTTCAAAAATGTATTGAGCAGCAACAGTCAATACCTTTATCTCTTTAAACAAGTTTCTTAACGATTCTTTGGGGCCCAGATTGTAAACTGCACGAATAGCTCTCTTTTGTAAGATAAAGATTGTATTAATGTCGGCCGCGTTACCCCAAAGCAGAATGCCATAAGACATTATACTGTGAAAATAACTAAAATATACCAAGCGAGCCGTATCACCATCAGTTAACTGGCTTATTTTTTTGACCGCGAAAGCTGCTGAGATAAGTCTACTCGCCAGTCTATTAATATGGGGGCCCCATTGCAGTTTGGCATCAATAGTTATGCCAAGGAATACAGTTGAGTCAATAGGGTCCAACGCTTCCACATATAAAAGTACATCAGTTTTTACATGTTTAACATTGGAGGAAGTTGCAAATTTAATACATTTAGTTTTTTTATTATTCAACAGTAAATTGTTAGCACTAAACCAATGTACTACAGTAGATAGAGTACTTGTTTACATCGTCATAACTTAAAGAACGTCGGTTTACTTTAAAGATTAAAGAGGTATCATCCGCAAACAATACTATCTCATGATTATTATTAACAAGATAAGGTAGATCATTTATGTAAATGAGGAAGAGAAAAGGCCCAAGAATAGATCCCTGCGGGCCCCCATATTTACCAAGGCCCCGGGAGATCTCTTGCCATTCACGTCAACTCTCTGAATTCGATGGCTCAAGTACGATTTCAGAAGATTGAGTGCGGCATCTCTTATACCATAGTGGCGTAGTTTCCTGACCAAGGTCTCACGCTGTACACAATCGAAAGCTTTGGTTAAGTCACAGAATATTCCTAAGGCATCCTGCGACTTTTCCCAGGCTTCAAAAATATTCATAACGAGCTGAACACCCGCATCAGTTGTTGAGCGACCCCTAGTAAACCCATACTGCTCGTTATGTAATAAATTATGAGAGCTAAAATGGTGTAACATTTGATTCAACATGATTTTTTCAAAAATTAACTAAGAGTTGGCAGTACAGAGATAGGTCTAAAATTTTTGGGGTCGGAAGTACTACCAGATTTAAACACCGGAATGATTTTACTATGTTTCATAAGGTCAGGAAATTCGCCACGATTGATACAAATATTAAAAATAGTTGCTAGGTAAGGTAAATGTAATATCACATCAATAATAGAACTGATCACCTTAACCGAGATCCCCCATAGATCTGCAGTTCTATTAACATCTAAAGTTTTAAAAGTTTTAACAATTTCTGTCTTGTTTACAGTAGTAAATTTAAAGTTGACTTTACATTCCATAACATTCTTTTTTAGTAATGACTCAGCAACTGTCGGTGAGGAAAGAAGTGACTTGGTTGTTGAAACTGGAATGTCAACGAAAAATTTCTCAAAGAAAGTAGCAGCTAGCTTAGCTAATTGAGCTCGGTGAAACATGAACAGAGATTTATTTATCTATCCCCTTATAGTTAATAGACGCAAAAGCTTAAACATAATTATGACAAAAATATTGTGTTTTAGTCACTTTTACTGACAGTTTATTTATTTAAGCTTTATTTTCAAAAAGGGGCTGCAATAGGCGGATTTTATTCCTAATGGCGTTGTCTACTAGTCAACGCTTGTGCAGATGGCAGGTGCTAAACGAAGATTAATAAAAATAGAAAGTAAATAAATTTGCTCTGAAGTCAATATTTATAGAAAGATATATAATTTATAAATATTATAGGAGTCTATTCATTCTAGCTAATTAATTTCGCAATTAGTAGGTTTAAAAATAGTACGACAGTACACTGAAATCTTTTTGACCACAATACTCATTCGTTGTTGATGCAACTACTAGCTGGGAACCACGTCAAAGAATCATTAACTAGATCAAAGAAGAGGTCACTACTATTTTGTAAAAGTGAACTAGTTTGCCACTATAGTGATATACTATAGTGCTGTAAAAATTTGACAGTAAATTGACTTGAGCCGTCGTACATACGAGTATTTACTGTCAAATTTTGAATTGTAGGTCACTAAAATAAACTATCACCACCATTGTACAGTTTGCGTCACCTAATTAGCGTCATCCAAACGCCATGTATTTTATAAAATAAACTAAAACGGAAAGATACTACTTTAAACTAGTTATTCGTTACTTTAAAAGAATGGCAAAGATGATTTTAATGAGGACATCAGTTCACGACTCTTTGTTATCGCAAAAATTCAATTGCGCATGTCACATTATTAAGCGCAGAACATTCTTCAGCGATGCGAAAACGTTCTTGACTTTCTATCGGTGACCCCAAGAGATTAGAATACACGCAGAATATGAAGCGTGAATTAATCGTCATCATTTGCCGCCGGCGTAACCACAATCTCATCACCACATGTTATCCCATTGGTGTCCTAAGAGGTGATTAAGGGATAAACCATAAACATGTAATAGTTTCCTCTAGTTGACGGGATGACTATCTCGACTGTCCAGACCCTTAATACTCAGGCTTTTAGCAGCGTTTAATTGCAAGGTATAACGAACGTCTGTGGGGGAGGACCATATTCAGCAGTGGACTTGAAAAGACTGAAATAATGATAATGATGATTAATCACCATCTTCCGACATCGTACTTGAGCCATGAATGATTAGATATATCAGTATCAGATATAAGTATATCAGACTTTACAATTCCGTCATTGAACACAACGTCACTAACTGCTTCGAAGGAGAAGAAAAATGACTGTTAGGCTCTGGAATGAAACGATTTTTGGTCTAATTTATAGAATCTAACCTACGATCTGCACCGTTTCATGAAACAATTGACGTAATAACGAAATTACCGCGGTGTTGGTTTCTCGCCGCACCGAACGGTACAACTTGTGATAATTGGGCACGTGTGAGATATTTTTTATTTGACCAATACTGTAGACTTACTTTGACGCAGTGGACAGAGTAACTGCGTACGCATTTCTGTGTCTCCATTAACGTATCTGGCCACCTGCGTTCGCCTTTCTGTCTCCTGAGTTGGCAACGGTTGGCATACATTACGAAGAAAGTATAGTAAAGTGAAATTGCGGTATTGGATCACTTTTAAGTTTCAGAAATGAGATGTTACGTAGACGTAATGGACCACCTTTTAAGACCAGGGCAAGAGGTATCGTCGGTCATATTGTGATAATAAATTTATGTTGCCTAGCTCGTTACGTGACTTCTTCATTGCATTTGAAATGTCGTTGTTCTAAAGTGAAGATATTTGAATTATAGTAAAGAGTTCTTTGTATCTTCATGTCTCTTCACCTCTTTCTTTTTTACTCTATGTACATGTTTAATATAAAGTTTTAATGATTTTTACAGTTCACTAGTTGTCCGGGTCGGAAATGCTTTTTTTTTTTAAATGTTAACAAACTTTGAAATATTACGCACCACCGCCGATTGGAAAAAAAATTTAATATACTTACTTACTTTTTAGCTTATTTGGGTTAGTATTTCATTGATCATTATGGGTCAAATCATAATGTTCTACTTGACCGATATCAGTACAGTTATTATAAGTGCTACGTCACGATGACTAACATTATAACCTTTTAACCTTGTAATAATGTCACGAAAAATCGTAAAGGTGAATGATTTTTGCATTAAGTTACTTTTAAAAAGGCAGCAGTGAAAGAATAAAACAGGTTTTCGTAAAAAATTAAGTACAAACTTTATTTATAATTAGGAATAAATAAATCTTAAAAAAAATTGCGTGATTCTATCACTTAAAGCTTTTAAAGCTTACCTTATATTTAATAATAACTTAGAATATTCATTTAGTAAGGGGAGATTCCATGCCTTTGGCACAATCTAGACTAGGTCCCTTAAAATAAGACTAAATAAATTTTGCTACCAATTGTTTTACATTACACTCGAATCATTATATAATCATAATAAAGAGAATGATAATAATGATCATCGTTATTAATGACACAATACGTTATTAATAATAAATAATGTAATATTAAACGAGAGAGCTCATTTACAAATTGACTGTACATTTTTTATTTGAATATGCAACCTTTAAAGAACCTTTTGACTAGAAGCAAACGTTCTTATCCCTACTTAAGTAAATGCCTAATTAAGAACATTATTTTAACCTACTGGAATATCTATATCACATTTTAGGAATTGCGTTGCACCCACGCTTATACGTCTAATGAATACTGAGTAATAATGCGTGCAACATTTACAAATATCGAGACATAGTCATATTCTTAGATATAAAAATTGGTTAATACAAAACTAATAGGACTCAAAAATTAAGTACATTCAACAACGAATTACATGGAACTGTTTAGCTAGCACGTAGTCACAGCACTATTTGGTCCCAGAATTCATCTTTATCCATTATTTACACTAAAGAAAATAAATAACCTTACAAACTATAATACTGCTTAGATTTCAATAATACGTTTAAACGCAAAGGACACTTGATTCAGTCGCTTAATAAAGCTAAACGTTTGTAGTCTGCGAGTTTCACTTTTGTCACTTTTGTCACTTTTGTCACAAACTCCCATTTTTACCAGTTCACTGTGAAGATAAATGATGTTCACTACATATTTGTTTCACCTCAGAGTCCCGGAGGGAAAGCTCTTCTGGATGTCTTTCTCTTCTCCTCACAAATGCACTTATATCGATTCCACCTCATATTCTGGTTCCGCTGTAACAAAAAAAAACTTTTTTCGAATTAAAGTCCTTTTTTCCTGTCGTTCTTTTAGTTCACACATTGCAAAATAAAGCAAAAAAAAAAAAAAAAAGTTTTAATTAGAAATGTTAGAGAAGTATTTTGTAAGACAACGGATGTCAGTGAGGCACACGCTAATCGCAAAAGAGATAATTACGTTTTATTGTCCACGATTTTACAGTATTCCTATACTGGTGTGACGCAATAACGTTCTATATATGGACGGATTGGAAAAATTTAGAGCTATAGATTAGATTATATTATTTAATCAAGAAAGATTGTAATTAAAAAAAATCAAGACATTCTAAATCCTTTTAAATTCACCGAAACGAAAGCAAACAGCAAACGTCTAATCAGAAATCTAGCATTAAACAATTATAATAGAGTAAATAACTAAAACGAATTGTTATAATGTTGAAATTATTCGAAAATCGTATCAGAGAGTAAAAAACTGAAAGGTCAATACGACGATGAGCATAACGAAAGCGTATAATAAAAAAAAAAAAAAACAAAAATTGCTCTAAACATAAAACTAGGCCGGAACATCAAATCGAAAGCGCTTTGTTACAACATACTAGCTGCGTGCCATGCGTGCCGTTACCACACCTGCGTTAGTGCACAGACATCCATCGTCTTACGCACCTTCCTGTGGCAACTCCTCTTCGCCTCCAAGTCGGGACATTGGCAGGTGCACTTACGGGGATTGTACACCCGCGGCGGCGCGCACTCCTCGGGAGACAGCGCGCAGCAGCCGCAGCTCTCGTGGACCTCCACCGGGTAAGTGGAGCAGGTCTCTTTGTTAGTCTTCACATTGTATATCCTCACCTGTTGGAGAGCGAACGAACGTTATGATATATTACGAATTAGCAACCCGGCTGCGCACGGGTGCAATGTGTACCAGAAAACCTTTCTCTTGAATCACTCTATCTATTAAAAAAAACCGCAACAAGATTTGTGGCGTAGTTTTAAAGATTTAAGCATACATAGAGACAGACAAACAACGGGACAACTTTGTTTTATACTATGTAGTGATGCTTAATGGGATGAACGAAATAACGTTGATTAATTGATGCATTCATCATCTATCGGAATCGCCAGAAGCGACGATAAATTTTGGCTCATTGTCAGCTGTGACCCAATTTACAGAAATAACGCAAGCGCCTGTTCCCCTTCTATTGCAACAACTATGTAAACTGTTACTTCAACAAATACAAATTTATTACGACCATTGAAAACAATCTTGAGCATCTGTTAGTCGATAGTGGTGAGATTTAGGATGTGTAATGGAAGCTATCGCAATGTTTAACTTGAAGCACAAAGTAAAAATAACTATTAGTGAAATTAATTATGGGAATGTTTCCAACACGCTCCCGGCATTCGAACAATCTATTGAGTCAGTCGCTATAATAGAAAGCGTACCTAAACGTTATGTTTCTAACATGCTGAGTCATTACCGGTCAACGAAATTGACATTGTCCAGGCCGAAATGTTTAGGATGTTATCCGTCATTATGCATTCAAACTCAAATTTGTCATTTGTTCCTACTTTCTCTAATACTAGTACTCTAATAGAAACTTAGTATTATGAACTAGCTATATTTAAGGTTCAAGTAAATCATAAAACTCAAAATTCAGCACGTGCGCAAATATCGAACTATAAAAGTAAGATTTAGCGACAATAGACTGAATCTCTATGCTGTGTACAGTCCAGAATGTGCAAACATGTCATTATCATCATTAAGGGCAGCCGTTGGGCAACGAGCTCGAATACCGGCAGACGGAACTGTGTCAAGGGTGAAACTGATTTAGCAGAGATAAACACATTCGCCCTTTCGGAGATAATCAAACATACAGTGTAATCAAAGTGAAAAAATATCTTCAATACCGGTGCCTTTAAGTTATTTCAAAATTCTTTTTACTGATTTAGAACAGTCGACAGATGAAAGAGCAAGAAACTAAGTATTAATTACAACACGGAAGCTGTTAAGGGTTGTGCAAAGGACACTTACCGGTACGTGCTGTATCCTCGTCTTGGTGGCGACACATTTCGAACCGGACGCCTCGTAGTCGCAGAGCCCGACGCACCTCTTCACCCAAATCGCGCCCGGGCTCACCTGGGAAATCCGAGCGCGTCAGTACATTCAGCCCAAGCGGATCTTCTCACGCACCACTAATGACCGCACTCGCGGATGTACAGTCGCGTTCAACGGTCAAAAACCGACTCAAAGGAGATGCGACAGTCGAAAAAACGATTAGATTCGCGAAGCCCCCCCCCCCCCCCCCCCCCCCAATGATACCGGTGACGGCGGATGACTAACGCAAAAATCTCGATTTTGACTACGCTCTTTCGCCATTATCGCCGATCAAACATTTACTTAAACTGACTAAAGATTCAACATTACGAAACACTGACGTTACACGAGTAAATTGTATTAACAATTTTTTTATAAGTAATTGATAGTATAATCACGTGCCCATTGAACTTATAGTGGAAATAAGGTCAATGAAATTATTAGGTATTGCGCCATTTAATTGTAATACGACGATGATTTTCATTATTCCGATTGCTCGTATAAATTATGTCATTAATTAATAGTAGTAATTTGAAATAATTTATGTGCAGTCAAAATTAACTAATTTATTAAAGGAATTTTCTAATACCTGTTCATGGGTGGCCCTCGGGTGTATATGGACGAAGACCTCCTTAGGTTGTCCGCATTTTGACTTCTCAATAATCTCATTCCTCAACAGGTCATTTTCACTTGTACACGCCACTGTCAACAACAATATCGGAATTAGTTACGTTAACGGCATATTATAGCGCAAACGACTTGTAAAGTTAAGTCAGCGTTTGCATGGAAGTATACCACTATCACTCAAGTAGCACACCGGTTGCATCATTCGCTTAGCGTATTCACCTTTCTTGTACAGCGCGGCGTCAACTTCCTCCGAGGACTTGGGGAACTTGGGGTGGTGGCGGTGCGCCGCCGCCGCCGCAACTACTACTACGAATACAAAGAAAACTTTCTCCATCTCTTCCTTCCGGTCTCTCTTTCTGTCACTTCACTGCCGATAGCTCCGTCACACTCGTGCGAGAATTCACTGTCACGGCCACTTAATGTACGTGTTGCCCCTTCGGCGGTCTGTTGGTATGTGGCTGGTGCGGCGGCGGTTCTCAATTATAAAGCCTGACTCAAGGCGTGTGGGTCTGGTGGCGGCGGTGGGCCAGCGCGTGACGTCACGCCGCTCCGCCTTCCATGCGGCTCGCACAGCTGGCGTGACGTCACGGCAGGCGCGAGACTTTTCGGCGAACGCTCTCCTTAACGGATCTCCGCCCCGGTGCGTGACGTAGCGCCACGCCGGTGCGCTCCCCGCGCGGTGCACAATCCATTCTGATTTTGGTGCTAGTGTGCTGAATCACAGCACAAATCCGAGCTCTCATTGGCACCAGTTTTTTTTGACGTGTCACCAATAACCGCTTATCAGGTGTTGTCGTTTGACGGAATATTGCCTAACTCCTTGCATTGTTCGCGCACTCCATCGCCGGCGACGTTTTATCAGCGGCCGCCGCCGCGTCGATTGTCCGAATTATGTAAATGATAGTCCGTTGACAGCGCTCCCGTTTAAATAGCGAATTATCGAATAATAAATTATGAACCGCTTTTCAAACTTGATCTCGGGTCAACGCTTATAATCTGATCAGATTTTATGAATGTATAAATAGATCGACTTCATACATTTTCATCGATAATTTCGACCGTCCTTTTTTTATGAATGAGAAATTTAAAACGTAGTCTAAAATTATGCATCGATATAAGATTGAAGACGCTTAGTTTTTTAAAAATTTAATAACTTACCATTTAATTTTTTTTTATTACAATTTATAATGCTCTTTTCATCTTTATAAGCTTATCATTGTGAACTCAGCTCTTTTGAATAAAATGTTTTTACATAAAATTACGCTACAAAGTTTCGAGTTCGAAGATAAAACAAATCAACGATTTTCTCACAATTGTTTCTTTCTTCGCCAAGCGAGGTAAATGAGCACTAAAATTAAATATTACTTCGGGGTCCCGTACAATAGTTTCAACCAGGTTTCTTTGGTCGAGTTTAAAGCTACTCTAGTATCTGAACATCCAAGAACAAGAGATTTAACCCAGACATATCTCATAGGAGTTGATATTAGACAAGAGAAAAGTTGAATATTTTCAACCGACTTCTAAAAAGGAGGAGGTTTTTATTCGACTGTATTTTTTTTTATGTTCGTTACCTCAGAACTTTCGACCGAGTGGACGGATTTTGATGATTCTATTTTTATTTGAAAGCCGGTGCTTCCCATTTGGTCCCATATTAATTTCATTGCTATTGGACCTTGGGCTCCGGAGATACGAAGAGAACTCCTGAAAATCAATTATAAAATGAATACAGAGCGAGATTTTTAAAGTCGGTTTTATTTTTCGTTAGTAAAAAAAATGGACTTGTTTTTAATAATGATTTTGATACAGTATCTTACGAGATCAAGGGCAATGGTCAATGATCAGAAAATTTACTTTCTACCACCAGGTATAAAATCATGTGCGTCACGTACTTATTTTCCATTTCCTATATCGAAAAAACCCACAGTTGTTTTTCTCATTTGAATTTTTTTTTGTTTTATCGACTTTTATTACAATGGAAAGATCTAAAGAATTATAGTTCTTCAACTGGAAAAACTTTTTATCCCGCAGTAAATATCTAACAGTTACAATATTATAAGATTCAACAATACTTTATGAATGCAATTGCATAACAAATTTGTTATCGTTATTTTTACGGAGCACCCTATACTTTCGAATTTGAATAGATTTCAAATTAATAAAGTGAACAAAAAAGGTTTTTTCTCTTTGATTTTAACTTCTAACTTGTCTCATTCACGTGTGTCATTTATGGCCACCTACCACCGGCTTAGATGCTCAGCTTAAATAAGAAACCTTGATCTATAAACTTATTTTTTTTTTGGATATTGCTGTTTGTCCATGTACTTTTTGATATGCACATATTATTTAATTATAACCATTTTCACAAAACTTGTTATTTTTAAACTCCAGTTTATACAATATAACTTGTTATATACCTTAAAATTTACGGAATAACATATTATATCTATATAAAATATTTCGAATGTTCAAACATATTTAACTTATTGTTACGAACTCTATCACCCAGAGAAATACCGAGCATAGCCCGCTCCACAGCTCGCTGAGCGACTTTGAGCTTCCTCATACGACCAGCAGTGAAGGACCACGTCTGGGTTCCGTAGGTCATCACTGGCAACATACATTGATTGAAGACTTACACACTGATTGAAGGCATCCGCAGAACCAAGGTAACCGACACAGCTCAGAGGATTAGCAAGCTAAAGTGGCGATGGGCCGGCCATATAGCTCGTAGAACGATAACCGATGGGGAAGAATGGTTCTCGAGTGGCAGCCTCGTACTGGCCCCCACAGTTTAGAACGACCCCCCCACAAGATGGAGTGATGACCTGTGCAAATGTGCGGGAAGTCGATGGATGCAGGTGCCTCAGGATCGTACTTCGTGGCGGTCTATGGGGGAGGGCTATGTTCAGCAATGGACTCAAACAGGCTGAAATGATGATGTTATAACTTATGTATTAAAAACGTCGACAGGATATCGTATCGTTTGATATTAGATCGAAGATTAATTGTCAATTGATTATTGACTTAGGGAAGTACCGGCGTAATGGTTAAAGATGGCCGTGCACAGCCAAACGAAACCCAGGAATTACGCAATATCATAGACAGCCCTAATACAGATTACAAAAGTCAATCGATTACTTCAATCAAATACGTTATCGAAGATTTCATTTATATCGGAATATTTGCTAAACGACGCAACTACATATCGAAATATAAGCGAAGAAATTATGATAAGTAAATAAGTTTAACTTGAGGAAACCCTTTTATGATTGGGCTTTGTGACAATGGTAACGCTTGTCTCGGCGCAGTCCGTGAGTACTGAACCAAAATGACCCGTAGGTGACAATCTTACCGTATAAAATAACGCACGCGTGAGCACATACGCAGCCTGCCAAACGTGGAGAGACATATAAAACTCGCGGATTCTGACTTATCCACGGTTTCTGCGTCTCAAGAAATTTTAATAGTCACGTAAAGTAAGTCAATGACTTTCACCATCCTTTTGGCAATTCAAAGGACATTTAAGAAGCCATTTGACAGCTTATTATTTAATTTCTAAGATGATCCGTGTTTCAGAAACCGGGCGTCTTTGTCACTTTAGCTCTAAAAATTAATTAATAAATATAATAATGAATAAAGCTATAATTCCGACCACAAAAATCGTGGTCGGAATTATTCCGACAAATATAGTTTGAAAACTATTTAATAACATTTTGAATAGAACAGTAAATAATAATTACTGTATGAATAAATTATTTCCCATGCTATTATACAAGTAAAACTCTGAGCCTAATATCCACTGATTTTCGATTATTCATACAGTAGAAGCATATTGATAAATATTTCGCGACTTATTTTTACACAACGCTATGTAGTTCCAAACTAAGCAAAGTTTGTGCTGAGGGTACTAGACAACTGACAAACAAACACTTTTCTTCTGTAAATACCCAGCACTACGAAAACACGTCATCATCCAATATTTTTCTAGTATTGGGGATCGAACCCAGGCTAGGGCTGACGCAAGATAGGTTAACTATCCACTAGGCCAATCGGGTCAAATAGGCTTTAATAGTAACAATGCCAGCATAAAAGTAAACTGAAATATCTTACAAATTAAAATAAATGAGATCTACAAGAAAAAGCTTGGGAATGACGTTAGTCGGTAAAGTTACACTCATGAATAAGGTTGTCGAATATTGTGACCATTTTTTACGCACGCAATTCGCTGAATTTTTTTTCCAACTAACTAGTTTAATTATTATTTACCGTGAAAGCCTTTCGCGTGCCGAATGTAATATGGTTAACTGGCACTCGGGCGCTAATTCAATGGAAGTATCGATTGCGATGGTGGTTCTTAGAAAGTGGGGGGCCACATCACGGCTGGTGACGTCACGCAGCCAGAACCACCCTGGTGACCCTCGGAGTTAGGAGGGGATTACCGGCTTCGACTTTCTACGATCGTCGTATTTTCGAACTAACGAGCTGAGCCCGCGCGGAATTATGTATATATATATATATATATATAAAAATAAATAGAATATCTAAAATAAAAGTAGACTAAGTTACTCCGTATTACATCAGCTATCTGCCATTGAATGTTCCGTTAAAATCGGTCCAGCCGTTTCAGAGATGAGCCGAAAATAATAGTAAAGGTAATGACATAAAAGGCTATTATTTCAAAATTTAGAACACGGGACTACAAGTATATGCAACATTGTGAAATGCTCTCGTTCTAGAACAAATATGGATTATATCATCATGATTCGACCAAAGTAGATGTTTATATGTTTGTCATTGTATGGGGACTATAGAAAGGTATTATCTGTGTACTTTACGTGAACGCTTTGATCACTTTACGTATCTTTTATTGCCCAAAGAAAGACCATCATGTTGTAAACAATAATCAGTTCATAAAATATTTACCCCGTGCTGGAATGGAAATCATTATGCGCGGCGTAAGAATGTAGTTCAGATAAAATCGCTCAGTAGCTACGTGATTTACTTATCGATTAAAATTACATTGCCCGAATGTGATAGGATTGATTATAAAATATTAGAGATACGAAATACACAGTTCCAAAAACATTTTACTTGAACTAGATTAAATGTGATAAAATGTTGTCTGAGCTATGCACTTACTCTGAAGGTAGTACGGTGGACAGTCACTAAATGGTTTATCGAATATTGTTTCGCAGCCTTTCAAAAAATAAAAAAATGATTAAAAAATCATAAAATAAGTGCTGAAACTTCATCAACAAAATTCTAACAGAATGTTGTTGAATGAAGTCTATTTGAGATCATTCCTAAGAAGCGTTATAAAAACAGTTCCCGCGGCAACGAAGAAACGTTCAAGCGTCGGACACTCTGCCAGCTGTCAGCTTGTTTATAAAATATCGATCTTACAATATTCGCTTAGAATTATGCCTGTGCCAAGAATGTCATAACTATACTGTGATATCGAGAAAATATTGTACTATTTGATGACTAATGATTAGAGAATGCTTCGAGAAGGATAATCGTTTGAAAGCAAAACGGTTCAGTACAGAGTTCAACAATAAGCTATAGGATTAAGATATAGCTTCAGATAATAAGCTATAGAAAAGGCTAAATAACTCGAGCTTATGAGAGAAGGTGGCAAGCCAAGCCGGCCGTTCAACTGACGTTAAGTGATAACCGACACCCGTGGACATTAGAAAAACCCGTAGGTTTGCAGATGCGTTGCAACCTTTCAATAAAATGGGCCCCTGTTACCTTACACTTCCACGTCAGTCTACTCTCCGGTCTTCTGTGAGGTTATGGTACTTCCCGGACGGCCCATTCGTGCAGGAGCGAAGACAGATGCGTGGCCCTACAACACTCATTGAGCCCTTCATACCGATCTGAGTGGTAACAAACGTAGAACACACAACGAAGGTAGATACAGTTAAAGCTATATTCAGTTCTAACCCTCTAATATACGAATAAACGAAAATGTATGTTGCACATAACTCTATGGTTATGATAGTGACGCAATAAATAAGTCATCGATAAAAAAAATTGTCAGAATCTAGCACGTCACGATTCCTCAGCTACCGGCGAGTGGTGCCAATTTACACGTTATATTGGATTTCACTCGTCACGATTCAGGCGACAATTGACTCAATGCAATATTGTTCGAATTGTACAGGTTTCGTTCTATTCCTTTCATAACTGACACCAAAATAAGTAGTAGCTTTTCCGGTGGTGATTTTAACATCTTTTTTCTTAATAATTTCTTGTATTTACGCGATTACACATTATAAATGAAACTAATTTTGCGTATTTATCGCTTTTCTTTCATTGGTATCGCTATTTTTGTAGGGAGAAAGCGTATATAACAAATAATTTGTAGGCCATCCAAACTTATTTTTGACTCCATTTACGGCAAATATTCATATTCTGTCGGTAGATCTACTTTTTTATTTTAATAATAACTGACATATCGTTCTATAACTCTCGTACTATATTATCTTTGTCTTTGCTGATGAAATTTCTATTTATGAACGATATTTTAAAACTGTTCACTATTATCGATAGAAAATTGGCAAACCAACTTACATTATTTTCACGATCCACGATACCAATTGTGAACCATATTCCAGTCTCCTTACACAAGTTTCGCGTATCTGTTAATACGTGATCAGGCGGAGCTTGAACTTTATCGTGTTATTGGAGAAATATTTCTGCGTGTCGAATCATGACAACAAGTGATAAGTGGATTTGCGCATATTGCCCAAGAATGGTATATCAGAAACGTGTTTCGTGAACATTTCTACCGTTAATGTGTAAAAGCGCGTCACCAAACTCATGTGTAGAAAGTAAGACATGTATTTGTGGATCAGGTGCCATTTCAGAGGCGTATTATATTTTATTGTTTAAATG